CTGCATTTGAAGGATCATTAGCAGAATTATCTCTCACACCTGTATAAAACTTCTTTTTGACTGGAATATGACGTGCCTCAATGCTGCAGCTATCTGCCAAATTACGAAGACGTCTCCAAAATCTCCTATCACGGGGAACAATATCTTGTAAAACTCTTTGCACTCGGTTGATCCGTGCCAGATTGAAATATGTAGATAGCAGACCCAGACTACGGGCTTGTGATGGAGTAAGAAGGCAAACAAAATCCTCCCACAAAGATAAGTGTTTTTTCAAACAATTTAACACACATGCAAGAGAAAGTAATACTTCAGTTTTGTCTGACTGTTCATGATTACTGGTGATTAATCTGGGAGTCTGAATAGCTTGACTTAAGTTGGATAAGTTAATCATCATATTTTTGTAATCACCTGGAGCTAAATAGGTTCGACATCGATCTAGTAGTGAACGTGCTCGTCTCACATCCATCTCATCCGTTATTGCCTGTGTATGAGTTATGATAGAAGACGGTAGAGTCAGTAAGTCAGATGAGTTAGCATCACCACGTGCCCGACATCTTGCAACAAAACGACTGGATGTCATAAGACATGCACTTGGGAAGATCCCTGCAGCTTGACTCTGACACTCATCAGCAATAAAAATTGACGAATCCAAAACAGATTGAAAGTTGTTTGAACATACAGAACTTGCATCTGCACTAGGAATATGAGGATTTAACACTGATGACTTCAACATATGGCAAAACTTTCTAGGTCCAAGATTAGCGTCTCCACGGGCAGCACAAAATTTATCAAAACCAAAGTGAAATAAGTTCACTAAAGCATCTGCTACTTTTTGACAAACATCTAATGCATCATTACCTGTATGACTCCAGTAAGACTCCAAAATATTTGGCATTTCCTCAAGCTGCTGATCATTTAAAATGCATTCAACAGAGGACGGTGCAACAATACCATCTGATATATCATGATTTTCAGCACTGGCTGGTGGTTCTACCTTATCATCATCTGAAAGTTTATATGACTTTTGTTTGTTTATCCGGGTTAGGATAAATTCGATATGATGTGATTTTTTAGTTTGAACAGTTCGATATTTTTGTGTTTCTTGATTTGATAAATTATTAATTGGATTTTCAGAGTGATTATTTGAATCATGGATTGACTCCGAATCATCAGACACTTTAAAAACTTCAACTAGAGCAGGTTCACTGGTTTTGCTGAGAACTACGGTACTGAATGAGCAATAAAAAAATACCAATACAGGAAAATGAAATGTGGATTAGGAAGAATAAGACAGCACTATACTAGACCAGTGTAGCTGACATACGAAATAATGGATATTCTGAACTTTAACCATGTCAGAGACTAGATTAATAAATGATAAATCAATAAGACACATAAATGAATATCGTTACACAATAGCACCATGCATAATATTTGCAATTAGAATGTTTTCTTTTCGGCATATAAATATTCAGTTAAACTTTGATATTAATGCTAACAACCATTCGACAACTCATGACAGTTTAAAAAGGTTACAGCACCAGAAATTACCAACTTGTTAGGTGGAAAAAAGTTAGATTACTTACTTACTTACGCCTGTTACTCCTCGTGAAGGAGCATAGGCCGCTCACCAGCGTTCTCCATCCAACCCTGTCCTGGGCAATCCTTTCTAGCTCCGTCCAGTTGTAATTCATCCTTTTCATATCTGCTTCTATTATCCGACGCAATGTGTTCTTTGGCCTTCCTCTTTTTCGCTTCCCCTCAGGATTCCAAGTTAGGGCTTGCCTCGTGATGCAGTTTGACGATTTGCGTAATGTATGTCCTATCCATTTCCATCGTCTTTTCCTAATTTCTTCTTCAGCTGGAAGTTGGTTTGTTCTCTCCCACAGAAGGCTATTGCTGATGGTATCCGGCCAATGGATGTTGAGTATCTTGCGTAGACAGTTATTTATAAATACTTGTACTTTCTTGATTGTGGTTGTTGTAGTTCTCCAAGTTTCAGCTCCATACAGTAGAACTGCCTTGACGTTCGTATTGAAGATTCTCACTTTGATATTGGTTGAAAGTTGTTTTGAGTTCCATATGTTCTTCACTTGTAGGAATGCGACCCTTGCTTTGCCGATCCTCGCCTTTACGTCTGCATCTGAGCCTCCTTGTTCATCGATGATGCTTCCCAGATATGTGAAGGATTCTACATCTTCCAGAGTTTCGCCATCAAGAGTGATTGGATTGCTGTTCTCCGCTTTGAATTTGAGGACCTTAGTTTTTCCTTTGTGTATGCTGAGGCCTACTGATGCAGAGACTGCTGCTACACTGGCTGTCTTCATCTGCATCTGTTCGTGTGTACGTGATAGGAGGGCTAGGTCATCTGCGAAGTCCAAATCGTCTAATTGATTCTGAGCTGTCCATTGTATTCCGTGTTTTCCTTCAGATGTCGAGGTCTTCATAATCCAGTCGACCACCAGAAGAAAGAGGAAGGGAGAGAGTAAACAGCCTTGTCTGACTCCGGTCCTTACTTGGAATGCATCTGTCAGCTGTCCTCCATGCACTACTTTGCACTGTAGTCCGTCGTATGAGTTCTGGATTATATTGACAATCTTCTCAGGAATTCCGTAGTGTCGAAGAAGTTTCCATAACGTCCTCCTGTCTACACTGTCGAATGCCTTTTCATAATCAATGAAGTTGATGTATAATGATGAGTTCCACTCAACTGATTGTTCGACGATGATCCGTAGTGTTGCAATTTGGTCTGTGCACGACCGATCCTTACGGAATCCAGCTTGTTGATCTCGAAGTTGGGCGTCTACTGCATCCTTCATCCGGTTCAGCAACACTCTGTTGAAGACTTTCCCTGGTATTGACAGTAGTGTTATGCCTCTGTAGTTTTCACATTTGCTCAGATCTCCTTTCTTTGGAATCTTGACGAGGTGTCCTTCTTTCCAGTCCATCGGCACTTGTTCCTCCTCCCAAATCTTTTTGAATAGAAGATAAAGCATGCTTGTGGTTGTTTCGATGTCTGATTTCAGTGCTTCAGCTGGTATGTTGTCGGGTCCTGCTGCTTTCCCGTTCTTGATTTGTCTGACGGCCATTCTAATTTCTTCCGTAGTTGGTGGATTGACATCTATAGGAAGATCTATGTGTGCTGCTTCGATGTCCACTGGATTCATTGGAGCCGGCCTATTCAGGAGTTCCTCGAAGTATTCTACCCATCTGTTACGTTGTTGTTGAATTTCGGTGATTGGCTTGCCTTCTTTGTCTTTGACCGGCCTCTCTGGTTTACTGTATTTCCCTGATAGTTTCCTCGTTGTATCGTAAAGCTGTTTCATGTTTCCTTCTCTAGCAGCTTTTTCTGCCGTCGTTGCTAGTTCTTCAACGTATTTCTTCTTGTCGGCTCTAATGCTCCTCTTCACTTGTTTGTTTGCTTCTATGTATTCAGCTTGTGCTTGGACTTTCTCTGCTCGTGTTCGGCTGTTGTTTATTGCTGCCTTCTTGTTCTTCCTTTCTTTGATCTTGTCCAGTGTTTCTGTAGAGATCCATTCCTTATGATGGTATTTCTTTAGACCGAGAACCTCTTGACACGTTGAAGTTAATGCTTCCTTGATGCCTTTCCAGTTGTCCTCCATAGTAATTTCTTCTTCTTTCAGTAGATCTCGTAAGGCTTGGAACCTGTTGTTGAGAGCTATCTTGAATTCATTGAGTTTGACAGTATCTCGAAGGAAGGCTGTATTGAACCTTTGTATTGCTGTTTGTCCACTTGTCCAGTTCTTTTTTAGCTTCAGTTTCAAATTGGCTACAACTAGGTGGTGATCTGAAGCTACGTCAGCACCTCTCCTGGTTCTCACATCTTCCATTGTCCTTCGGAATTTTTTGTTGATGCAAATATGATCTATTTGGTTCTCTGTAGTGTGGTCCGGTGAGATCCATGTAGCCTTGTGTATACGCTTGTGTGGAAATATTGTGCCTCCTATGACCAATTTGTTGAATGCGCATAGATTTGCAAATCTTTCTCCATTTTCGTTTCTTCCTCCCAGTCCATGTCGTCCCATAATATCTTCATATCCAGTGTTGTCTATTCCGACTTTGGCATTTAGATCTCCCATTAGAATGGTGAGGTCCTTTTTTGGGCATTTCTCTATCATTGACTGCAGCCGCTCGTAGAACTGATCTTTAATTTCGTCGTTGCTATCATTGGTGGGTGCATAACATTGGATAATATTCATTAAGATCCCCTCCTTCTTTGTTTTGAATGATGCTTTGATGATTCTGGATCCATGAGATTCCCATCCTACAAGTGCATTTCGTGCTACTTTGGACAGCATAAGAGCGACTCCCTGAGTGTGTGGAGCATTGTCCTCTTCGTGACCGGAGTATAGCAGCATCTCTCCCGTAGCTAGCCTTTTCTGTCCAGCTTGGGTCCAGTGGGTTTCGCTGATTCCCAGTACTGCTAAGTTGTATCTCCTCATTTCCATTGATATTTGACTGGTCTTCCCGGTTTCCCACATTGTTCGAACGTTCCATGTACCTATAAAAATTTTTGCTCTGGTTGTTAGAAGGGGCATCGGCCTCGTGGCTTCCGAAGGAACTCGGCTTTCACCATGAAGCGTCATAATTCTTCTAAATGAAGACCTTCTAACTCCCAGGGCAGAGTTAAAATGGTTTGGATTATTTTTTCTGGTAAGCGTTTTTTTAGCGAGTTAGTTTTCTACGGGATGGGGACGCTAACCCCATGCCCAACCCTCCTCCTTTACCCGGGCTTGGGACCGGCAGCAACCCTATAAGAGCTACAGGCGGAGTTGGAAAAAAGTTAGATAGATATCTGAAATTGTGATATGATCAGATTTCGTGAACTTGGATAGATAAAGAAACTCATTTGTATTATATATATCTTCCATCACAAGCTTCCGATTAACCTATTAACTATTGTAGTATGATTTATTATTCTTCATCTGTTGGCAGCTCCTTTTTGGCTTGATTCTGTGTAATTGTTTTCTATTTCATAGTGTGATGTGATCTGGTCTATTTGTGTATAAACCATGTCTGCTTGAAATACAAATACAGCGGGGGCTGATTATTGATTTCTGGACTCAAGGGAAGGACAAAGAGGAAGTGGGGGACTGTGAACCAGCAAGAGCTTAGCCTCGACTCGAGGAATCTGATTGGTGTTTCTGTAACGCGATATCGGACAGCCAGTCAAATTGGAGCACGTTGGTTTCTCAGATGAATAACTCTAACTAAGAGGTCTAATCCGTAAAGTAGCTTAGCCTCGACTCGAGGAATCTGATTGGTGTTTCTGTAACGCGATATCGGACAGCCAGTCAAATTGGAGCACGTTGGTTTCTCAGATGAATAACTCTAACTAAGAGGTCTAATCCGTAAAGTAGTTGAGCTGCATCAGAATATGAATTCTCAAAATATCGCTGATCATGAGAATGAGTTCATACGCCATTTCTTCCAACAAGAACCTGGATACCATATGCATCATTGATCTTGTATTAAGTATCTTCTACTAGTAAAGGTGTGCTATGAGTATCCAATGAACTGTTTGTTTCAAACACTTTAAATGCAAAGTGGAATGGAAGTGTTTTCAAAGGGAGGCCAAACCTCTTGGACATTTCAAGAAGTGAACTCATTAGATATTCACCAACCTCCAGATGTTTTATTTAATTGAACAGAGTTTCACGTTACTTTGTTAGTCGTTTTGTTCTCCTTTACATTAAATCAACTTTAAGCTTTTATAGTTAACTAAAAAAACATCCTCAAATGAATATCTCACAACCAACTAGGTCAATGGGACGCGTTTTTTCAATCCAGTAATTAACCAGTTGTTACACCATATCATATTTAAGTGGACTCGGAGAGGTATCGTGTAAATTTTAACTACAGTCGACTATTAATAAGTTGAAATAATTAATCAATAAAATGACGATTTCAGAAACTTATGAAGATATATCAGTTTACTACCACCAGTGGAAGAGGATGTTGCATTTTTTCAGTTGGACAGTTCAGTCGCGATACTTTTTTGTAGTATATATTGACGATATTGTTCAAAAAATATAATAAAAGCTTCAAGATTAAATCATATACCTGAGCGAACATAGGATTTCAGAAATCCATATCTTGAGCTACATATTTTCTCAATCATATCAACATAACAATGTCTGTTCTATCGATACCTAGTTGGAATAAATTGGGAGGGGAACCCACCACAATATTATGTACTATAAATTCTTATGATAACTATGAAACTTTAAAAATATTATGTCGAAGAGAAAACCTACCCGTCAGGATTGAGATCCACTGGGATAGCAGGTAAATAATTCGGACCAAGCACATCACATTCAACTGGTGGTTCTAATTTGACTATGGATTCACCTTCTACATCTGTTGAATTTGTTGTTTTCATTTCTATAGAGTGCGTTTTTCCAATCTGTGACCTCCAAAAACACTCGGCATTTTCTATGAACTCAGTTAATACATCCAATCTACGTTTTGCATTTTCATTACGATAGTTAGAATTTAAAACATGCTCATAACCTACATCGGTGGGAAGCCCTTCAAAAGTAAACAAATCTTTAGAATTCTTATCAGTTAAACATTCAACAATTAGTGGAAGACCATAAGGAGCAGCAAGTGTAGTCATTTCATTAGCATACTGTTGAATTCTTTTTAGGTCCACTTCCCCTGGTTGACTTAACTCAGTGTAGAGTTGAAGTAGACGACGAGTAGCAACTGGTACATGTTTGGAGTCCCCTGCATTATCTATACTGTCCCGATTAGCCAACAGATTCCAACGACGAGAGCGTAACTGCAATAGTGTACGATACGGAAGTATATGCCTACCGATTAAACGATATGCAATGTAACGACAAGGTTGTTTACACTTAGATCCACGACTTCTAGATTGGTGGTGATAATTAAGAGTTTTAGGTTCGAGAGATTTACGAGTTCGACTTAATGCACCGGAAAAGTCTGCCAATCCCATCACCATTAAAGCATCTTCAGATGGATGAAAAATTAATCGGACATGACTTTTCGGATGTGGTCCCAAGACAGTAGGCATTAAACACGCATAAGACCAAATAGGACTGTTAGTCATTATACGTAATAAACAATATGGGATAGGCAAGGCGAATGATTGCGACTTAGTAAGACTATTTCCTACTCCTTGTTTATACGGATTCCATGGTAAACGTGGAAGCATAGATAATCCAGCATAATCGGAAATCAAATCAACAGCCATTTCCAAAGTAGGACAACACCAATAGAAGCTTGTAACAGGATATTTATCGGGAATATTTTGTTGAAGTGCAACTAAATCAAAAGCTTGACGTTTAGCAATTAAAGTTTTGAGAAGAGTAGCACATGGTCGGGTAACATATTCATGCATATCAGGAAAATCATACGTTAATAAGAAATTCGTAGTTAACAATTGAATATGCATTACTAATTGACGTTCTAATCGAACCAGTTCTGTCTCAGTAAGGCTACAAAAAAGAAATACGAATTACAAACAAGACGATATCATAATGACAATAATGAAACTTATTTCTTATAAAAATGGAAAATTAAGTCAAAAGTATCTGTTTCATAAAATAAAAAAATATATTAACACTTCTAATAGCACTTTGTTTTCAACTGGTACGCCGTAGGTTCTGATCTTGCCCTGCCACCTACTTTAGTTTTGGCAACCCACTTGATTGCTTCTTGGACCAGAAGTTTAAAGCCGAATACGAAAACATGTGATTAGTTACTAAATAAAGCTATATTCATAATTTGAAATGAGAAATTTATAAAACCTTATACTCATTTGTATTGTGTGCCAATGCAACTCTTATGATAGACAAAAAAATATCAAATCATGTAGATAAAACGAGAACTGCTCACCTCAATTTCTTACAGTAGTTTTTAAAAAAATCTTTGATTTCATTCCTTTGTCGATATTAATGTTTATATACCACTCATGAGACCATAATTATAGTTATGACTAGTTTTCACCACACATGACACCATTTAATCGTTTATATATAGTGCGAACAGATATTTATGATAACCATTTACTTTTAGTTCAGGCTATTAAGCCTTATATAATATTGAAGCGATTAAAAATACTTTAAACGAAAATGTTTAGTACAGTTGAGAAAATGATCATTTTAATCAGGCACTACGGACAACTGAAGGTAGCCGACAAGAAACGCTGGACCTGGGTTACATGATAATTAGGACGCATCAACAAGGTATGCACCTGCAACCTTGAGGTGACTGATGTTCCCTGGTAGATTCAAGCGTATACCACTCAATTTCATAGTCTGAAACGTTACCATCGAGATATTTGGGATGATACGATGGGACCTTGACGTATTTAGCAACTATTTCACTTATTATTTTTAAGCTGAACATAAATGGCTCTTTGTGTAATAGTATATTTGCCACAAACTTTACACAAGACCTCACAACCGATGAACTACAGGCTGAAAGGTGACAGACTATGTAGAATATCCTAAAATCAGATAACTACACCAGGACTGAAATCCACCTGTCACACAGGAATTTTCTTGTTTTGAAACTTTAAAATATGTTAGACAAATCTCACTAGGATCACCAGACTGACTAATATGCTCATTTTTTAGAAAAGGTCAACTATGGTGAAGAGATCACATTTGACTTTTATAGATCAAGCTCCAAAGATAATCCTACATAGGTTCTGTTGTGTAACTACCTAAGATACAGTCAAATTTTACTCGAATGGTAATAAATATCAGAAATAATGAAGCACAAAATACACACAATTTGCAGATAATGCCAAAATACACAGTCTTAAAATTCAGTTCAGTATGAGAGGAAATAGACGGGATGAAAATGCTATGACTAACGTGATACGACACCGTGTTACAGTTGGATTAACCGGAGTATCTGTAGTCTTATGAAAAATCTCATTGGGTGCAGGAGATTGAATATGTTGTGGATTGTTAAACTCATCTATTTGACTACTATTTCGAAATGTATTGCGATCCATATGAAACAAACGTTGGCCATAAGCTTTCATTGCCAGGAATGAAGGTGTTTTGGATTGATGTGTACGATTTTCATGTCCTTCTTCTGAACTAAACAGTTCACGTAAATCTTCATGTAAATTCTGAACAGATACAAATAATAATTTAAACTTAAAACTCGATTAAAATTCTAACTAGCTTGAAAAATGCACTGTAAAACCATTCAGTAAGTTTTGTGATAGCTAGCTATATTTTCGTATATTAAGCAAAGATGGATGGTGGCTAGCAGTGGAATCTAGGACACGCGTTTCGTCTCATTTGGGACTCGTCAGCTGGATGTACAATGCGATTAGTTGGATCAAAGTGGATTGATTAAATCGCCTTCTGAACTTCAACATAGAGAATGTAGTATTCTGCATGAGAATCTAATAATTTTGATGTCTTAAGCGTTTAAAATGAAGAATGACGATGTAGCGCTGATCAATATGGATGCCTATCATTGAGGTACTGAATCAAATTGTGAAGTGAGTTAATCAATACATGAACTATTACTTAATGGTTTAGGTTCTTGATGTTTATTTATAAGAGTCTGAATATCGATCGCTGGTGTGAACGATTCAACACAGTATAATTGCTTTTGTTAATACATATATTCACAGTCAAAATAAGTGACCCTACAAACGAATCTGACATTCTAAGCATACCTGTTTCAATGCATAATAGAATCCATCCAACAAAACATTTTACTGAGTCTGTTTAGATAGTAATATCGTTTTTAAACGATAATTCAATTAGACCTGGAAGTAAGAAGTTAACTTTTAAGATGAATTTTTCACTCCACTTGCTAAACAAAAACATTAATATGCCGTATATTGTAAATTGGATAGATTATATAATCTGTGATCTGTACATTAAATACATTTTAACATAAATTTCGATTATATTTCAGTTAGATAGTATGAAATTATTTAACAGTGCAAAGCATTCACATAGAGCAATTTACGATAACATTGAAGACTACTTCATCAATCAAACCATTATTTAATAACATTTTTATACCAATAAAACTGAAGATTAAATTATAATATAGAGAACGTGTACTTAAAAAACATCGAACCTTGGCTTCCATTTTAGATACTCGAACAGCGCGATCGTCTCGTAATTCATAGAAAAAATCCTCCCTATCAACATCGTCTAACTCTGCCATAACGTCAAATTCTGGATCGTCATCGTCTTCATCGTCATTGATATCATTTACAAGCCTTG